AATACTTTAGTCGAGAAGGTCCTCGTGTGAGCATACCCTGATCAATCGAGCGCCCGTTTTGGCGGTACGGTCGCTGGGGGTGAGGTTGGGGAGGGGGTACGTAGGAACCGCCGGCGGGAAAGAGGGAGCACCGACAAAAAAAAAAAAGAGGGTACAAAAAAGGGGAACCATATGCCTTCCAAAAGAAAAAAGAAAAAAAGGAAAAAAAAAAAAAAAAAAAAAAAAAACAGGGTGCCACCACCTCAGCAGGGCAGTCGAGGGAGCGCGTGTCGAATGGCATGCGGGCGGAACAGGCGGCTTAGCGGAAGCCAAGCGGAGCGCCAGCTGTCCCGCACATCTGCATGGGCGGCGCCGCGGGGGAGTGGGGACTACCTCGTTTTTCTCTTCTTTTTTTCTGACCCGAAATTTTCTGACGTCAGTCACTGTATTATTTGGGTAAGAAAAAGCGGGGACCTTTAAGCGCATAGTACACTCATCACACACTTTCTCGAATGAACAAACCCGTAATAACGAGTACATTCTTTCATATAAGCGTCAGTGTGAGTATGACCTGTGATAACGGGCGGAACGGGGTCCCAAAGAGAGATCCGAAGAACGGTCGGACGGAATAGAAGGTATTAATGATGGGCCAGGAGGAGGAGGGAGGTTCCTACTGTTTTTTTTCTTTAACTTTTTTTTTTTTTTTTTTTTTTTTCTTCTTGTTTCTTGCGCGTTTCTGCTGGTTCGTTGAGGATGGTAATTAAAACGGTCTTAATTCTTGATTGAATTTTAATTTGAATTTAAAATAATATTAAATTAATCTCGTTCTGAACCAAGTTCGTTGCGTTTGGACGGTAGCGAGTTGCAGGGCGGACTGACCAGTTTCTATGCTGTCAGAGCGCAACTGGGCGTATAACTCTCCAGGTGCAGGTCATGCGGAAGATCATGCATTTCGTGCAATATCACGTCCAGTTGCATTCTGACGGCGGTGTTCTTGCATTTCAGACCTGACCACCCATTTTTGTACAGTTCGAGATTTTTTGCCGTGTGTTGCACTAACGGTTCGGTTCGGAAGCGCTCGAGTACCGTCCTCAGCACCTGAATACAGCCCACCCTTATCACGGACGTATCGGATCCGAAAGATGGCTTGTATACATCCGTGATTGCGGTGGAAATCCGGACTCCCAGCTCGCTCCGTTTACTGGGTCAGGACGGTAGGAGGACCTGCTTTTTTCTTCTCCTTTTTTTGTAACAGCCCTCAGAAGACCCCCTCCCATCCTTCCTCTGATCAATTACCCTGGGGGCACCCCCCACCCCCTCTGCCCTACCTTGGTGTGGACTACCCGGGACCATCACCCATCATCACCAACTAGGCTAGGTGACCTGACCAGATAGGGGCTGAGCGGGGGGACCCCTACCCCCACCCCCTCTGCCCTACCTTAGTATGGACTACCCAGGACCATCACCCATCATCACCAACTCGGCTAGGTGACCTGACCAGATAGCGGCTGAGAGGGGGGACCCCTACTTGCCCACTCAGCCTTTCTGTGTCCAGGGAAGTAGAGAACCCTGGGGTCAAGTCTCACGAATTCTCAATTGCTGACCATAGTTTACCAAGACCGGCGGCCAAGAAGGAACGTTTCGCAGGGTCCCCTGTATAAGCCTTAGGAGTAGTGGTGGGTAGGTACGTAGTGAAGGTGAATTGAAAGAATTTGAAGATGGCCTAGCTCAAGAGATAACCCGTTGCCCCCCCAAGCCAGAGATAACCCGTTGGCCCCCCAAGCAGCATTGGCAGGACCTTGGCCAATGTTGTTGGCTGCTATGCAGCGACAATATTGGCCATTAGACACCGCCATGCGGGGTTGGTGGGTGGGTGGGTAGGGGGCATTCCTTGGCGTTAGCACCACCGATTTCCCCCATCAGAAATGCCTGCCCACAGCTCGTCACTGTGATGAGGGACTGGAACAGCCTTGCTCTAGTGTGACGCCCAACCTTACGCCCAACTCGACTTGAAGTTCCTGTTTTCGAAGTGAGAGGGGCCCCGAAAGTGCGTAGTAGGGTTGTTGTGACGAACCACTTTCTGTGACGAGCGATTTTCTGCGCGATTGCAATGAGGGGTCCTAAGCTGGGAAGATTGGGCCAATTACGGGAAATCGGGATCGGTGGAAAATTGCATCAGTACCCTTGCTTCTTCGTCTTTTTCGTCACTTCTTCGGGGCTGGGAGTGTCCTCGGACGGCCGGTTGAGTGATTGGTCGGGTGGATGTCTGGCGCGCCACCACGCACGCGATTAATAAATGTTGACATCGTTTCTTTCGTTTCGGTTTCGATCTTTTGGGCGCGGACATCGCGCGGGAAATTGCTTCGTTCTTTTCTAATTTTCTTTTGAGTTTTTGTCGAGCCCCCGATGGCTCTCGGAATTTTGGACTTTCCTTTTGGAATTTGTGCTTTTTGCTTTTTCGCATTAGGTAGGAATTTAGGAATTTGGTAATTAAAACTTTTCCTGCCGCGTGGCGCCTTTTGTCTACGCGCTTCTTCAGGCGGCTGCAACGGTACCSTGATTAGTGGGCGCCCTTAATCRTATGTGTACCTGTAATCTTGGGCGGGCGCCATTGTAACTGTATCTCTCTTCTTGCACTCCGTCTCTCCCACCCTCCCTCTCTTTCTTTTGCTGAAATTTTGTAAGCCACGGCTTGCATGCTCGGATCTATGCGTGGAGAAGGGATACGTCCCCCACGCCGTGGCCGATCATGCAGAACGCGGGCGTTCCCTCTCTAATCTTCACTCTAAGTCTTGGCAACTCCGTGTTCTTCGCGCATGCATGCACACTATAAATTTCGGCTGTGCGATTAGTCAGCTCTCTTAACCTGTTGTTGGAAGCTCGGGGTTGCGCGATCAGGAAGGGTCGGCACACGAGCGAAGTAAGAGGTGAGTAGAGTAGGAGTTGGGCGACCCGACGGGCTGGTGCCGAACGTGCGGGATTGACGTGGGCCACGAGAGACTGTGGGCACGGGCGAATCCAACTGGTGCGGGAGGACTAAGCGGGGTGACAACTTCGTGGGTTGGTGCATGATGACAGACTGTCCGCATCGAAGAGAGAGAGAGAGAGAGAGAGAGAGAGAGAGAGAGAGAGAGAGAGAGAGAGAGAGAGAGAGAGAGAGAGAGAGAGGAGGAGAGAGTTGAGGACGATGGACGTGGATTTGCGGTTTCTTTGTCTCTTCCCCCTCTTCACCTGTGTACATACGTTTTGATTACGGCTCCGGGCGGCTTGCCCGTTCTCATCTTCGTTTCGGCTTTCTGAAATCTGGTCTTGGGTTTTTGCTTACACTTGTCTTTGCTATGTTCATCCTGATTGCATTACGTACATGATTCTCGAATGTATGGATGTATGGATGTTATGCCTGCTTGTCTATCTTTGTGCTGAGAATCCTTGCCTTTGCTCTATGTTTGTGTCGAATCTTTGCCCGCACCTAATGCCGCTGTAGAGGGGATGAGAATCTTGCCCGGATAGCGATTTTATTCTCGCTTTTGCTTGTCTCACGATGGGGTGTGATATGGTTGCATCTTGCATAATCCGAAGCAATTAGACGGTCCGAAGTCTGGCCCCGCGAGCGCCGCGCAAGAACGCGTATAAACGCGATCCGAGTCACGCCCTTACACGCATTCCCGTGCGACGATTCGCCCACCCAAAAAGACTCGCGGCGGAACCATCATCCCGTACGAGCACGACAAGGCGCCACTGAGCCTGCCTGTCCTGCACGTGCTCGTGCGYGGTGACGATAACCCGACCTGAGCCATCCCATCGACGATGATACCATRACGYGATCTTGGAACTCARACTCATCCTACGACCCGGACTATTTCACCCCTATAATAAACGAGCTCATAAGGACACGATRCCCCTGTCACACSRAGAATCGGCTATGTCCACGGGAATTCCACTSTGCCACCACCAGTRACCCTCGGTGCTYCGATTTCYCGTCCCCCGACCACACCTACTACTTCACCCACCCGGGATTCGTTGAGATCACCACCAGTTTCYCTCCTTTCCGCCTTCTTYTCCCGTATCATCAACTCARCGTCGTTCCGTGGCCGGCCATAGCCCCCTATTSGCCCAATACGTTTTGCGTAAACTGCCGAYGCAGCRGCRCACYGAGCACTCCKGAATTCCGAAGGCCCAACCCAAATACGYGGYGGTCTGCGCCACGTGGCGACCCCCGACGGCCTAACTTTCCGGGACCACCTCCACCACGGAGGAATTTTCCCGTGACCCGTCATCCACAGTGTCCCGGTCCCTTGGGACCGTGAGACCCTTGCGTGCGCAACCCTCGCCGCCCTTATTGCATTCATATCCTTAAGACTCCCCCTCTTTCCCAAAAAATCCTTGGCACTCCCCTTTTCGCACTTCCAGGCCCACACTCCACTCCGATCAGGAAGTCGCATTGGGCGTGAGGTTGGTATCGGAGCCCGACACGTGGCTAGGGTCTTAGGATTGATAGCACGTTAATTAGGCGACCTGGCTAACCGTGGGCGACCTCGCCCTCGGAATGCGCCTAGACGCGACCCTATCGTCATCAGAAGCAGAGTGGCTAACCGACGAGCAGCCAATATGGCTGCCAACGTGCAAAATCCGGTTCCGCAACAAAATGCTAGTTTACCTAATCAACCTGCCCCACGTGCACGAGCTCCCATGTTGCCCCCATATCTCTATCTATTCGATCCAGCGCACCATCTCGCAGGAGCACGGCTGGCCACGCTTAGAGCATAGCAGTACGATGATCACGAAGCACAGATCAACATTCCGGCTCGAATGGGAGGAGACGCTCATCACTGGTATAGTACCTATGTGTGGGTGGATCTTCCGACCTTCGAGCGGGACTTTTTTAACCGATTCGATTATGTCCACCCTGAACAAGCGCTATACATGATCAAGGATCGAGTGCAAAAACAGCTCGAATCCGTCGCGGAATACCGAAACCGGTTCTACAGGATGTTTGTAAAAACTGAGCGAGGTGAGCAAGTCGGAAGAGACCTATTCATTGACGGACTCCGCAGTCGAACAATAAGGACTAAGTTGCGAAAGCAGTCGTCCCCCATCACTCATACGCTACAACAAATTATGGCTGCCGCGGAAGAAATGGAACGGAAGTTCGCAGCGAACTTCCTGGAAGGAGAAGACTACCCTAGAGACGGAGACTTAATCGAGCTCGTACGAGCGAGAGCAGAACTGGCTGTTTTGCAGAACGAATTTGAAAATATGGGATTTGTATCAGGACCTGTCACTTATATGGAACAAATAGGCCCCAAACGAGTAATCCTAAGTGAGACTCCGAGCATCTCTGCTCCTATGATGCCCCCGCCCGTCAGGGCATTACCCCCGCCGCCCGTTAAGGCTCCTGTACGATCAAACGAATCGGCGACCATTTTCGAACTAACCAAAACTTTGATTAGTTTGATCCAAGAATGCAAAAAGGAACAGCGAGAGCACAATGCTCGGCTAGAAGCCATGATGAGGAACATGCGACCTATTGCGGTGAGTGCCCCTCCGATGCAACAAGGATTAGCCCCCGCCCCTGCTCTCGGAGGAGCTGTGAACAATCTGAATGTTTGTTATGCCTGTCATCAGCCCGGACATCTAGCCCGTGATTGCCCCCACCGACCCCCGCAACAGCGGATCGCACCTATGGCTGAGGGCCCTATCGCCAATGGACCTGGACGAGTCGGAGCCTTGATGGAAGAAGTAGAGGGTGGGGGAAGTGCCCTGGCTACCTCGGAAGAGGCCGCCGAACTAATCCCGCTAGATCAGTACGTATCGCTGAGATATCCTAGGCTTGGAATGATCGGAACAATCAGACCAGCACCAGAACCGAAAGAAGTGGTGGAGTGGCGACCGTCCTTAGGAGAAATGGAGTCGGGAGGACCCACCTTCGTCACAGGGAAAATCGATGTATTAAACATTATCCGAGCTTTGGACCATCGGATTCCACTACCGATCGGTCATCTACTCTCGATCTCTGAGCAAGCCAATGAGCGAATGCTACAGTATTGCAAAGCGAATCGAAAGCGATTCGCCCTCGCCCGAGCACCAAACGTAAAAGCCAAAAGCCCCGCGCCGGAAGAAGATTCAACAAACACTCCGGATCCGATACGGTTAGGATTAATTCAGAAAGACGATCATTTCCTACAAATTAAACCCATTCCGTGGAAATCCGCAGAGTGCGATATAGAAATTTGGGGAATTCCTTACAACGCCATTATAGACTCAGGAGCAACTGTGTTGGCTATTTCACTAAGAGTGGTCGAAAGGGCAGGCAAGAAAAACGATCTGATCATGCTCACCGAGAAAGATCAGCTCGTTTCGGCAGATGAGGAAAAGATTAAAACTGTGGGGAGAATGACCAATGTCGCCTTCCGATTAGGAAAAGTACACGCGTTTGGGGATGTCTTAGTACTAGACGTTAATACGTACGACGTTCTTTTCGGACTTACCGCTCTCGTAGCGTTATGAGCAAACCTGGATTTCGAACGACGAGAGATCGTCCTCCGAAATACAGGAGGAAAACCCTACGCTGTGCCCATGCGATTGACCCTTCGCACTGTTATTAAGCCGGTTTCCGCGGGTTTCGTCGATGATGGCAGGGACCATCCGCATGATCTCCCGGGACGATGGAAAGTCATCAACTGAAGATGCGGAAAGCAGTGACGAGGATGATCCGGAGATCTTGAAATTGCTACGACAACGCGTTTACTACCCGCCGCCCAAAACGATAGCGAGAACGATGCAACTGACCAGCCGAAAAATTCAAAGGACCAAGGCGATGATCTTGGGAGAGCCCCTCGTGCAGATTTCGAGGATGGTCGATTCTTCGGGACCCCTCAAACTCTGTACGAAGGGATCACCCCTCTCCTCGCCAGGTATAACGACAAAAAACATTATTGCGATATTACGGAACTACCTAAGTCTTTACTAACATCGGCTAAAAAAGTGAGATTGTTATGCCCTGGGGGCTTTAAAGCAGAAACAGACGGACTGGGGATAAAGATTGCAACAAAGGAAGTGCCATGGCAGGATGTTTGCGATGGGATTACCCCAGAAGGACACGTGGCAATCCGAGAAGAAGATGCTCAAATGATGGCCACGGTGTTCTCCTGGCGATCGGATCATTCATTCATCTCGGCGCCTCCACCCGACTTGACAAAATAGACGAAAACGAAACAGATTGACGTTCGAATTTGGGACCAACTTTTTGAACTGCACGTTCCACAATATGTGCCGGATGAAATCCACCGGGTAATTGCGGATATTCTAACGGAATATCAAGGAGCAATTTGTGTATCTGACACTGACATTGGTTTGTCATTAGTAATCCAACATGAAATTCAGACAGGAAATCACTCCCCGATTCATTGCAAACCTTATCGGTATTCCTTGATTGAAAGCAAAAAGGCTCTCGAACGAATTCGGGAGTTCGAAGCCAGCGGGTGGATTGAACCCGCTACCGGACCTTGGTCTTTTCCCGTAGTATTAGTACTGAAGAAAAACGGAGCGATTCGCATTTGCATTGATTGTCGCAAGCTAAATGAGATCACGATCAAAGTTGTGTATCCCCTCCCCTGGATTGATGATTTGCTGGATGCGATTGGATGTGCTAACTACTTTAGCAAGTTTGATATTCGGCATGGTTTCCATCACATTTTGGTTAAGGAGGAAGATCGGCCGAAAATGGCCTTTGTGTTGTTTGAGGGCACGTGGCAGTGGGTTCGGTGTCCGATGGGGATTTGCAATGCGCCTGCCACGTTTCAACGAGCAATGAACATGACGTTCCAGAATTTCGTCAACAAGACACGGTTGACGCAAAGGATGATTAACTTCTGCGTGATCGTGTACATGAACGATATCCTGGTCTATTCGGAAACCTATCATGGGCACGCACAACATATTGAATGGACATTGGGCGCACTGAGAGATGCCGGGTTCAAGATTGCGCTCGAGAAGAGCGAATTTTTCCTCTCGGAAATTTCGTTCTTGGGCTACGTCATGACACGTGAAGGATTGCGGCCGGACTCGATAAAAGTTGCGGCGGTAAAGGAAGCCCCGGTTCCCACGTCACTGACGCAGGTTCGAACCTTCTTAGGATTGGCATTGTACTACCTGCGCTTCATCAAGGGCTTTGCCGCGATTGCACGACCACTAACGAATCTGTTACGGAAGGACCAGCCTCTCAGCTGGGACGCGGAGTGCCAACAGGCCTTTGCAACCCTCAAGGATACTCTGGCGACGACCCCTATTCTGATTCAACCAGACCCCTCAAAGCAGTTCATTCTCATCACGGACAGGCAACTGGAAGCTATTTCCGCTATTTTAGCCCAGAAGGGGAACGATGGCCGCGAACATGTCATCGAGTACGCATCACGAACCGTGCCGGGCGAACGAAGGAACGACTCCGCACCTCAAGGCGAATGCTATGCAGTGGTGTGGGGAATCCAGCACTTCCATCCGTATCTCTACGGACAGAAGTTTCGCCTCGTGACGGACCACGAGCCTCTGCTAGCTTTGAAGAAGCTCACCAATTACACGGGCATGATTGGCCATCGGGCTGTGCGACTGCAAGAATACGAATTCGATATCGTCCATCGAAAGACAGAGCGACACGGCAACGCGGACGGGCTGACACGTCTGCATCCACCTACCAAGGTACCCAAGGGCGAGGAAATTACACCGTGGAAGGAGTCGGACTTGACCAACGAGCTGAAATACGGACAAGTGGCTGTTCTTCCACGTGGCAAGAAGTAAAGCAGCGACGATGGGTGATGGAGGTAACCCCACTACCCCTCTTTCTCCCCCTTCCTCTTCGTCTCTCCTCTCCCTGCTCGACAAATTTTGCTATTTTTGCGAAGCTATTTCCCGCGTATATTCGGTCCCCATGCGTCCTAACGGGGAGGGGTATGCGGATTGGATAGATTGCCAACAGTGTGTTGCACGAGCCCATGGCTCGTGCATCCAATACAAAAACGATAGTAGATCATGGTTGTGCCCCTTGTGCCGGACCGACAAGATTCCTATCGAGGCTCGATTTTTGGATGCCACGTCAGAAGGATAAGAGAAGACCCGAAAGTTTAGAAGGGCCGAAGTATGGACGAATATTGCCTTAATCGCCACCCTAGTAGGTAACCCCCTCCAGGATTTTACCAAGGAAGATTGGAGGAGGGACAACGAAAGGGCTCAGGATTATCGATGGATTGGGGGCAGATTAGAAAAACGAAAAACGAACGGCAGTGGGATTTGGATGGTGGTGCCACATCCGTTCATGCGGTATGACTTGGTTAAGACGGCACACAAGGAAACTGCAGCTCATTTTGCCGTACGAATCACGGAGTCCGCTATCGACAAAAATGAGTGGTACTGGTCCAATATCTGCGACGACGTGAAATACATCGTCGCCAACTGTCAAGTCTGCGCCGCTGACAAAGCGTCAATTCAACCGCCAAGGTCGATAGTGCCCACGATTGTTGAACGACCATTTCAAAGAGTAAGCATGGACACTACCGACATAGTGGTGCCCCCTGGCCCTAATACTTGCGAGTATTCAGTCCTACTGGTATTTGTAGACCATTTCTCAAAATGGATCGAAGCGTATCCTTGTCGCACGCAGCAAGCCGCGAAAATCGCGCGATATGTCAACCACTTCCTTGGGATGCATAAGGATACGGAAGAGATCCTGACCGACCACGAGGCTGAATTCAGGGGAGAGGTATTAAGGAATCTGGTCCTACATGGCGTCGCCATACAGAACACTGCACCCCACATGTCACAATCTAATGGACTGGTCGAAAACGCTAATCGGATGATAAAGGCAGCGTTGCGACGAAACATCGTGGCACGGGATCCGAGACCCTGGCCCGATATCGTCGATCACGTCCTGGCGGTCCATCGCGGAACGCCTCACGAATCGACGGGGCTAAGCCCCTTCCAATTAAGGACCAATAACGTCGCTTGCGCTTCAATACCAAGCCTCCCGGACGAGTCTACATTGAACCGACGGCCCACCAGGGCCACGGCTAGGGAAAAGGCCAAACAACACCTAGAGCTAATGGAACGGTCACTGCCCAGGCTAGCCGGAAAGCGACAGAAAATGACCGAACTAGCCCAGGTCCGGAGCTACACGGCCCGAAATGGGAATGCGGGTTTGCAACCCCAGTACAAATTGGGGGACGTGGTGCAGGTGAGGAAATGTGCTCGCCAGGGTAAGCTAGCGCCACGATTCTTCGGGCGATATCGCGTGATCAAGCTCGACCCCAACAGCGTGGACACCGTGCGTCTCGCCCCTGAAGTCTCAAGCAGCCGATCGGCCCGCCTGATCACACGCCACGTGTCCTATCTTCGCCTCCTCCCCTCTGCTCCGTCTCCTTCTCCCTCGATCTCTCCTTCTGAGGAAGCTGAAAACGACGGTTCTGATTCTCTGCCATTTCCCTCTTCCTCTTGCTCCCCGTCACCATCGCCATCACCATGAGTTTTCTAGAGGAAAGAGCTCTCAGCGAAGCATCGCTTGCACCCCGCGATCGATTGACGATCCGACAAGTCTATCATCCCCACCTTTGTCCAGATCTTCGGTGGCTTGCGCACTTTTTTTGCACGGAAGGCGTATATGCAGCGGCGGTGTTCAGAATCGAGGGTCGGCCCAACGCAGTGGTACTGGCCGAGGCAGTAGCAGTTCATCAGCGAGCGGTGCCAGGTGTCAGCCGCATATCGGTCGTCATCAACTTCCGTGGCGATCTTTCCACGCTCCTCCCTTTACGACATTCGGCAATGAGGACATCGCTGGGCGCGTGGGAAAACGATCTGGTCGCCGAGTGGACCCAGCTTCTGGCTCGCCCCGGGGACATGGTCGCGCCGACACAAGCAATCGAATACGACGGCCTTCGGATGTACCAGCGTGATCCGTCGGCGGTTCTCCCTGTTGTTGTTCCCTTCCCTCGCCCCCAATGAGTCTCTCTCTGATCTCCGTTTTTGATCTCCCCTCCACCTTCCCCACCTTCTGGCAGTCCAATATCCATCCTCGCCTTTCCTACTGTCTAACGACCCTTGCGGTCCCCGACATCCATCCCCCATATTGGGACCTGTGGCGTGAAGACTTCGTCGAGCGTTCACTATGCTTGGTTGAGGTACGGCTGACGTGGACCGAGGACGAAGCGCGTCCGCCTTGCATAGAGCGCTTGGAGTTGCTGTTCATCCAGGCTTGGCGAACCAACGTGGAGGGAGAACTCCTCGCGTTTCTGTTCGGTACCGTACGGCCCGGACATCAGGAACTCATCGCACAAGAGCTCGCGATCCCGGTAACACAGCTGGCGGACGATCTCCCGCTCGACATCATCTCGCAGGACGACGAGCACCCGATTCCTCACGTGCTTTCTCGCACGTTGACGCCGTATCTCCAGTGGTCGGCTTGTGTGGAGGGAGCCGCAGAACGCATCCCGCCGTCGCAGCAGCAGTATTTGGATCCCCGGACGGTTTGTGATCGTGCCTTCTTCAGGCATCCAACGGCAGAGCAGCTTGCTGCCATTCGAGAGGAAGAAGAGGAGAAAGAAAGCTCTGAGAGTGACAAAGGAGAAGACGAGCGGGAAGAAAGTGGGGAAAGCGACGAAGTACTCGGGAAAGAGGACAAAACCCCCGAAGAAGGAAGCTATAGCGAGCATAGCGAGGAGGAGCAAAGAGAAGAAGAAGAAGAAGAAGACGAAGGAGAAGAGGAGAACGAAGAAGGACCTGCAGAATCGGAGTGGGAAGCTGTGCCGGAAGAAGCGCTGCGCACGGGCACAGAGGCTGAAGATCCGGAGGCGGCCCACAAAAGAAAAGAAACCGGGGCCGGGAAGAGGGAACTAGAGTTTGCGAGCGGGATAAGCTTGCACGTCCACGACGACCCAAACCAAGATCCGGAGCCGCCCCGACCAGAACATGGCGACCTCACGGCCACGACTCCGACCCCATCAACGCGGCGACGGAGTCGATCCCCCTCCTCCCCTACCCGTCCCCCAGTTTGCCGACGTACCGATACGGTCGATCGGCCTTCGTCCCCGATTGCTCTCTCGCCGTCCTCTTGACTACCTCACCCTCCGCCTGCTCACCACCCCCATCACGTTCCCCTCCAACCCGTTTCCCCGCGATACCTTCTGCCACTTCTATGCTGCTCGCCTCGCTATAGTAGTGCACCCCCACCCCCACCCCTCCATTCAGTGCGCCGTCTCAACCTTCTGCCTCCATGTTTTGCTCCTTAGTGCCGCATGGCGAGGCCACAATATGATCGAGGTCTATTGCATAGTAACGGGGACCATCCCTGCCTGCGAATATCGCGATCGTTTCCGCGCGGCACTTTTCAAACTCTCACCACCCTCTATCCCGATTACCTCGCGTCCCTCCCTCACACTGGCAACCGTTTCCCCCGCTTCCACCGCATCGTCCGCTACCAAGCGCTTCCAAAATCTGCAGCGGGGATGGAAAGGTTCCTGTCCCCGCTACCCATAAGCCCTCCACCCCGCCATGCCGCCATGCACCGGCTCCCTTTTCCCCTTCCAATTAATTACTGATGCAACCGGTAACGGATGTGTGTCGCGGTAGCGGCACGAGAAAAATCCCGTCCTTGGACTGTCGAGAGCCCAATCTGAGGAAGTAGTAGAAGAGCAAAGTGGCCATGTTGAATGACGTCCGCACGCAATCGAACGGTAAGTGGCATAAAGAGAAGTGCTCCGCGTGTCGATCGATTAGAGAAATCGACACGTGTCAACAAGCAGGCAGGAACTTGCTAATATTGGAACCCCCTGGGCGTCACATATGTGACGAACCACTTTCTGTAACGCGAGATTTTCTGCGCGATTGCAATGACGGGTCCTAAGCTGGGAAGATTGGGCCAATTACGGGAAATCGGGATCGGTGGAAAATTGCATCAATACCCTTGCTTCTTCGACCTTTTCGTCACTTTTTCGGGGCTGGGAGTGTCCTGGGACGGCCGGTTGAGTGATTGGTCGGGTGGATGTCTGGCGCGCCACCACTCACGCGATTAATAAATGTTGACGTTGTTTCTTTCGTTTCGGTTTCGATCTTTTGGGCGCGGACATCGCGCGGGAAATTGCTTCGTTCTTTTCTAATTTTCTTTTGAGTTTTTGTCGAGCC